CATGGATCAGCCAGTTAACATATATGTTCATGTATGGCCTTACTGCGAAGTCAGTTTGACAATATCTTTATTCATGAGTAAAGACACATTTGATGCCGACACACACGTTCAAATTCAGTGTTTGAAAATGGAAAATGTACAACACAGATTTTACATTTAATAGCTAAAAATGCAGACCACGTGTCATGGTGATATCTTGCACATTTTTAAATATGAGACTGTGGACCCTAGGTGGCTTGTACATCTTTCAATTGAACCTGAGCCTGTGTGGAATTTCAATTGGATAAAATGGAATCAATTCACTAGGAGTTTTAATTTGCACATTTTGATTAGTCCCATTTCTCAGAGCTGTTCCCAATGAATACAAACCACGTTTGAAATGCTAAGTAATGCCATCACCTTTTCTCATTACCATGCCAAACAGACATGAGAGGAGGGCAAGGGGATTGTACACATCGACCTGTAGCACTTAAGGGTTTTGATAACTCTAAGGCATGCCAAAGGCCATTTTAGGCGAGTCAGTTCGCTCTGCGGCTGTCTTGGTCAGCTGTTGTCAAGGCTCTGTCCCAAAATATGCTAATTTCTTAAAGGAATAGCTGACCAAAACATGAAAAATTGCTGAAAATGTACTCACCCTCAGGCCATCCAAGAGGTAGAAGAGTTTTTTCCTTCATCAGAACAGATTTGAAGAAATGTAGCATTACATCACTTGCTCACCAATGGATCATCTGCAGTGAATGGGTGCCGTCAGAATGAGAGTCCAAACAGCTGATAAAAACATCACAGAAATCCATAAGTAATCCACACGACTCCAGTCCATCAATTAATGTCTTGTGAAGCTGTGAGAAAAGCTATGTGATTGTATGGGGAAAAAAAAGCATCAAGGCATTTTAATTGTCACTTCTGGACAAAATACTAGTCCATAATCCATTATAATACTTCCTCCAAATGAGGAAGTCCATCACCTGTTGTCCACCAACATATTTGTTTAGAACGATTTTGGACTGGTTTTGGTTGTAAATGGTGATTGATCTGTGCATATTTCTCTCCTGATTCAGACAAGATTACCTTTTTACTGGAGAAGGCAATGTTGTGGCTAGATGACTCATAGCTAGAGGCAACAGTTTGAAGTAAAAATGCCTTAATGATGCATTTGTTTCTTACAAACACACAGCTTTTCACTTCACAAATTGTTAACTGATGGACTGGAGTGGTGTGGATTACTTGAGGATTACTGTGATGTGTTTATCAGCTGTTTGGACTCTCATTCTGACGGCACCCATTCACTGCAGAGCATCCATTGGTGAGCAAGTGATGCAATGCTAAATTTCGAAACAAACTCATCTACAACATGGATGGCCCAAGGGTGAGTCAATTTTCAGCAAATGTTCTTTTTTTTGATGAACTATTCCTTTAATACTGAGAATATAATGCATACTTGATGCACTAATGCATGAAATCAAACTCGTGTAGCTAGAAGAGTCTACGTTCACATAGAGTATGTTTTTAGGGCACACACATTTAAATGTTTATGACTATTATGCAATTTCACATTATGGTGTTTCAATAAAGCATTGCATTCCAATTGCATTTCTAATGTGACACAGGGCCTTCTACAATGAAAATCTGAAAATTCCAGTGTGCCTTAGCGAGATCTAAATTAATTTAGTCTCGGTATCAAAGGCGCAGTAGATCAATGGCAGAGAATAGCTTCGGGTCTGTGCGACGAATGCTCCTTAATCACCTCTCCCAGTTTAAATCAACTTAGCACCATGAAACAGACTCAGGCCTTTAATGACTATAGCCTTTGGTAACTGAGTCAACTCCTTCTTAATAGAAGCCAATCAAAGCTTGCAGCAAACTACACGCAAGGAGTGAAATCAATTATTCCTGACCACACATCAGTCAGTTTAAATATAGTTTGAGGGTCATGTTTATAGGTTGATGATGAGAATAGACGTATGATATGTATTTTTCATTTTCTTTTGCTTATTTCCTTGTTCAAGCTCTTGTTTTATCCAGACTGGACTATTGCAATGCTCTCTTAGCAGGTCTTCCAGCCAATTCTATCAAACCTCTACAACCAATCCAGAATGCAGCTGCAAGATCAGTATTTAACGAGCCGAAAAGAACGCATGTCACTCCTCTGTTCATCAGTTTGCCCTGGCTACCAGTAGCTGCTTGCATAAAATTCAAGCCATTGATGTTTGCCTACAAAACCACCACTGGCTCTCCCCTTTACCTGAATTATGTGCCCTCTAGAAGCCTGCGTTCTGCCAGTGAACAGCGCATTAGTGCCATCTCAAAGAGGCACAAAATCACTTTAACAGACTTTTACATTAACTGTTCCCTCCTGGTGGAATGACCTGCCCAACTCAATCCGAGCAGCTGAGTCCTTAGCCATCTTCAAGAAATGACTTTCTCAGACCACATTGCTAAAACTGTGTCCTGCAGAATTGCTTTATACAACATTAGGAAGATCAGGCCCTTTCTTTCGGAACATGCTACACAACTCCTTGTTCAAGCTCTTGTTTTATCCAGACTGGACTATTGCAATGCTCTCTTAGCAGGTCTTCCAGCCAATTCTATCAAACCTCTACAACCAATCCAGAATGCAGCTGCAAGATCAGTATTTAACGAGCCGAAAAGAACGCATGTCACTCCTCTGTTCATCAGTTTGCCCTGGCTACCAGTAGCTGCTTGCATAAAATTCAAGCCATTGATGTTTGCCTACAAAACCACCACTGGCTCTC